TAATATTATCTGTCCAGTCTGTTTAATGTTATAGTATGTATGCGTTCAGGGCTGACCACTTGGTATCATATAAACAATTGGGGGCTCTTCCTGGAGAAGTCTATTTCTGCCATTCCCAACATCCTTAGTTGCCTATAATTTATCTCTGGTGGGGGCCCTATGAGATTTCTCCCTTCCATATTAGCATGTCTGTTGGTGTCTTCCTTGATCAGATTTTTGCTAGGTAGCCAAGTTATTGAGACTTCGTGGGTGTATCTTCCCTGAAAGTTCAGGGAGATGTATTCTCACTATGGATTTTCTGTTCCTCTGGATCGTAGAGTCTTTCTGCTATCTCTTCCATAATGTTTCCTGAGCCTAAATGCAAGAGTTGGGGTTGTAAATATATCTGATGTGGCTGCACACCCCATGATCAGTTATCACCTGCTTTTTGACCAGTTATGGTTTTCTGTAATGATCTCTATCTGTTGCAAAGAGAAGTTTTTTTTGGTAAGGTGCAAATAAATATTTTTAACAGAGTTAAGGATTTTGTTGGTTTAGTAAAGTGGTAATTATAGGTTCTCCCCCAAGATCTATGACCTCACAGCTTCAGGTACTTGCTAGGACTCTGGTACCAGGAATTGTTACGCTGGGCTTAAGTCCAATTAGAAAGATGTTGTTTACCTCCAAGATATGCTTACCACCATTACATTCTTAAGGTTTGTCATGCCATGTTTGTCTGGTTGTGGAACATTGGAGTCATAGCTTTGTAGGACTATTGGTTGCTTCCCTACTTTAGTAGTAGTTTAGTAGTAGATGGCACCATGAGAGCCAGTCCTAAGGGAAGACGCTTTCAGGTCAGATTAAGCTTCAGATCCTCCAGGTTCTGTATCCAATCTCCAATAGGGGCTTCCCTTCAATCCATAGAAGGGAACCAAAGGCAACTGCAATAGCCTCCAATGTTTTGGGCTTGTCTTAGACTTCCCTGCCAAGAACTCAAGACTCCTGTCATCTTATTGGTTCCTTTTACCCCTATTATTAGCCTCCTTCTGATTACATGTTAGGTGTATTTCATTACTTAATGTGTTTTCCTTTCCACCTTCACCTGTGATTTCTTATTTTTGCCTCATGGCATACCACACACATGTTTTGCATGGGATGGAGAGGGGATAAAATCTAGGATCTTCATGTAAGAGAAAATATGCCTCTTGTCTTTCTGAGTTGTATTTTTTCACATAACACTGTGATTTCACTTTTTTATTGTTGAATGTGTATGTATCACATTTTCTCTATCCATTACTCTATTAGTAGACATCTAGCATGGTTCCATTTCCTGGCTATTGTGAATAACACAGCATGGGTATTCAAGTATTTTATGTTATGTCCTGGTTTGTTTCTCTGTTGTGGTAAAGCAGTGACCAAGAGCAATTTAGGGAGGAAAGTTTTTTTTTTTTTTCTTTTGTTGGTTTTTGTTTTGGCTTAGACAACATGATCACTGTTAAGTGGGTCATTGAGCAGGAACATGGAGGAAGGGACTGTCTTAGTTAAGGTTTCTATTGCTGTAAAGAGACACCATGACCATGGCAACTCTTATAAAGGAAAACATTTAATTGGGTTGGCTTACATTTTCAGAGGTTTAATCCATTACCACCGTGGTGTGGCATGGTAGTATGTAGGCAGACATGGTGCTGGAGAAATAGCTGAGTGTCTTACATCTTGGTTTGCAGGCAACAGGAAGTGGTCAATATCATTTGGTGTAGCTTGAACATATATGAATCCTCAAAGCCCGCCTCCACAGTGACACACTTCCTCCAACAAGACCATACCTACTACATCAATGTCATATTTCCTAATAGTATCACTCCCTTTGGGAGCCATTTTCTTTCAAACCACCACAAGGACTAATGCAGAAACCATAGAAGAATGCTGATTACTGGCTTACTTTCCATGGCTTATTCAGCCTGTTTTCTTAAACAACCCAGAACTACCTTCCCAGGGGTGACATTACCTACAGTAGGCTGAACCTTCCCATATTAACCATAAATCAAGAAAATTCCTCACATACATGCCCACAGACCAATCTGATGGAAGCAGTTGATTCTAGTTTGTGTTAAATTGACAAAAACTAACTGGCACAATTAAACCCTTGTCGACTTAACACTCCCATAAAACATCTCACTAAACACAAAGCATTCAGTAGCCTTTTATGTTCCAAAGTTCTAAAAATCCTTTCAGAAACACCCCCTCAAAAAAAGGGAACACAACAAAGTGTGTTTAGGAAACCTTAGCGAGGTTGGTACAGCTCTACTCTGCTCTGCCTTGTTGTGCTTTGGAGAAGTGTTACAGCTCTGCTCAGTTCCCCATGAGTGTAACAACTCAGCTCCAGCAAAGGAAAATTTTCCCTAGTCAGAGTGTTACAGTTCTGCTCTGCTTCTGCTCCACTCAGTTGAGAGCTGTTACAGCTCTGTTCTGCTCTAGTAAAAGTTGTTACAGCTCTGCTTTGCTTCCTTTCTGGCAAAAGAAAGTTGTTACAACAAACCTTACTCAAAGGATTCCTTGGGTGGGAGGAATCCAGGAGAGCAGCTTTCTCTGCCTGGGTGGAAAAAGGCAGCCCCAAACTGAACAGTTACAGGGTTTATATAGGGTTTCTTAAGGGTGGAGAATTTTCTGGGTGGTGATTAGTAGGATCTCAAGCATGAATTTGGGACTATGGATGCACCGATTATGATACAGGGGACAAGGATAAAATATGAATTTTATATTTTATTTGGGGAGACGTCACTTACACAAAAAAACCAATGACCTGCAAATTCCCACTCCAAGGATCCAAGGGCAAGCAGGCAAAAAGCAAAAGCTTTCTTCCACATCCTTTTATATAGGCTATCACCAGAAAGTATCACTCAGAAAGTGAATCTTCTCATCTATGTGATCCAGTGAGAAAATTATTCACACCTGTGGTTCCATATGGAGTTAACAACCAAGATTAGCAATCACAGTTATGATGTAGGGTCTTTCTGATGGGTCCTTGAATTTTGCTTTCAAGTATGTTATTGTTTCTATGCTCATAAAGGAAATTTGTCTATAGCTTTATTTTTTTTGTTCATATCCAGTTTTGGTATGGGGGTAATACTTTCTTCATAGACTATATTTGGTAGTGTTACTTCTTCTTTTTTATTTTATGGGGCAGTTTTAGAAGTATTTGTGTTATTCTTTAAAAATGGGTAGTATTCAGCAGTTAATCCAACTGAGGAGACCTTTATTACAAATTACTGCTTCAGTCTTATTGACTATCTTCTTGATTTACTTTTGGTAGGTCAGATATGTTTGTACGTTCATTTGTTTCTCCCAGATTTTCCTGATTTTTGTCCCCCCCCCAAGTATAAGTTTTCAAAGTATTCTCTAATTATCCTCTAAATGCATTGGAGTCTGCTGTAACATGTCTCTTTTAATCTATAACTAGTATTTTGACTCCTTTTTTTTCTTTTAGTATGTTTGACTACATGTTTGTCAATTTTGTTTACCTCAAACTCATGGTTTGAATGCATCTATGTATTTTTTCATATTTATTTTATTAACTTTTGCCTTAATCATTCTAATTTCTTGTTATCTACTGCATTAGAGTTTGGCTTGTTCTTTTTCTAGTATGTTAAGGTATATCATTAGGTTGTTTATGTGTGATTCTGATTTTCTTTTTAATATAAGCAACCCTAGCTATGGACTTTGTGCTTAGACCTCCCTTAGCTGTACCACAAAGTTCCAAGTAAATTGTACTATTGTTTTCATTTAACTCTATGAATTTTTTTGTTTTCCTTGTTTCTTTAATATTCCACAATATTTTTATTAATTTATTTTTTACATTCCAATCCCAGTTCCCCCTCCTCTTACTCCTTCCCTCCCCCCACCCCCCATCCTACCATGTGCTCCACGGAGAGGGTAAGTCCTCCACTAGGAAGTCTGCTAAGTTTGTCCTATCATGTAGTTGAGGTAGGACCAAGGCACCTCTCCACTCCCACACCCCTGTGTCTAGGCTGGGGAAGGTATCTCTCCGTATAGAACGGGCTCCACTAAATCAATTAGTGCATTAGAATTAGATCTTAGACCCACTGCCAGTGACCTAATATATTTCTGGGACAAGTTTTTTTTTTTTTTTTTTTTTTTTTCATGTGTAGATCCCTTGATCACTCTACACTCCAAGTCTGTAGCCAGATTGAGACCTCTTGCCTACTAGGTACAACTGTTTCTGGTGTTTTATAGATTGTTCTTTCTACTAATTGAACTTTTTGTGACTAACGCTTTGAGGGAGTGTGGAAGGCCTGCCCACTTGTCACTGGTTGACTTTTGGCAGACAGCATCTGTTGGCTGTGCAATGTTTAGCATCTCACTTTTTCCATTCCCCATGTAGCTTCAAGCAGTGGGGGGGGAGGATTGTCTTCTTAAGCTATTAACTTCAGGGTGTGTGGGGAAATATTTCAGCTTCAGACTCCTGTGTCTCACTTCTACATCTCTCTCCTCAGTCTGTATTCCAATGGCCGCTCTCTAGTTATGCTTTAGTATATCCAACCCCTGGTTGTGTCTCTTTAGCCAAGTCCATCTTTCTGCAACTTTTTCTTCTTGTGGAATCCATGACCAGGAGGAAAAAAGACCTACCTGGCAGGTAAATCTTAACTGTGGTCTGGCAATATGATATAGTTGGGCACTGGTTGGTGTGTAGAAGCAATTTAAAAGAGAAGTGATATTGAAGACTTTGGGGGTGTTAAAAGCAAGGATTTTAAAAATAAGAACAAATAAAAACAAAGACAACTAGAGGAGGTAAGATATGTAAAGAAAATCTACTTGGTTATCTTAATGAGTCGCCTAATTTATACATTATCCACATATTTTTTTGGTCCTTTTTGACATGTGTTAGCCATCTCACTAACATTGACAGTGGTTTAGTTTTATGTATGCTTTTAAGCAAAAGAATAATCTTAGAATTTTAAATATCCACTCATACTCTTATCTTCATTTTTTAATCTCTTCAATAGACTACAGAGTCATTAAGAAATGCTACATGGCAGAAATGGGGAAAAGACAATTCAAGACATTTACTAGATGCTTCAAAGGTAAGATGTAGCCAACATTTCTACATCTAGTAGAAAAAGTGTGCAAGCCCATGGTGCATTTCCCAATTTGTACTGCATATTTACTACATATTTTATATTTCCTAAATACTTTCCCTTTTCATGATTTTTTTTTTCTAAACACTAGCAGGAAGTTGTGTTTCTACTAGGATTGCAGAAAGAAATTTTGGTATTTTTCTACCACTGCAGAAATCTGTCTGAATCCCTTGAGATCAATGCCAACTAAAGTAACATTTTCAGAAAGCTTTTATAAATGTAATGGCAGCTTGTTGACACTCAAATTTATCCTAATTCCTATCTGATACATGGAATGTTGCCATTTTTTAAGTGTGAAAAGTACCTTTACCTTAGATTTTTAGATTTTAAGCTTGCTAGAGACCTTGGGATAAATGATGAGTTTCAATATTGATGAGGGTTATTTTTCATTGTTAATTTATGTGAAAGATACCTTTCATAATTCCCACTACTTCAAAATAAGATATATAAATTTCAATGATAGGGAAAAAAAGCTAGGAAACCATCTATATCATGGAAACATTATTTTTTCGCCATTTAATAATTATTTGCAATTTAGGTAGAAAGCACTGTTATAATTTTTCAGAGACTGCAAAAATAAATTTATTTTCTACTATTAAGTAGAAAATATGTTCAGCTTTCTCATTGTCCAAGATACCACTTAATTTGTTTATATTTCAGTCTTCTGCTTTGTTGAAGACCTCATTATCTTGTATAATATTCATCAGAACCCTTGCTAAAACTTGTTGCTTAGCATTTTGGAGGAAAAATGTCAGCAAAAGATGCTGTCAGAATAAAAATCACCGTTTGATGTTTTCCTCTAACAAAATGGTGTTAAGGTTGTTGATCTAAAAATTGATACACATTCACGACAATTACTTTTTGTGTCTCACTGGTAAAAATAAGAAGACACTTTCACTTTTTATAATTCTATTTTCATGCCTTAGGTATTTGTGTTTGTAAAGAACTATGCTATTGTTCATTAATTATTGATTGTTATGAATACTGCAAAACATCATTAAATCTGTATACTTCATTTGGTATTTTTAGTCATGAAGACTTCCAGCATTAGAAAATTTAAATGTTATGCCTAATTGTCATTATCTTGTTAACTCTTACATTTTTCCAAATGATTTTATTTTATATAATCTCTGACTTTAGCAATAACATTAATGCCTTTGAAAAATTTATACTAGGTAAGATAATATGTAAGGCTACGCGGGAGAATATATGTAGCTTTTATTTTCTAAGTGAATCCAGAAAACATTGACACCTTCTTTGCCTATATATAAGATACTGTGGTGTGTACCATAGGAGAGAAAAGACCCAAAAGGTATTGTTCCCATCTTAAGAAATTTACTGCGTAGTAGAAAAAAAAGTATGCAAAATATTAAAGCATAAGATAGATTTACTATTAAGTTTTAAATACTTTGTTTTTAAGTATGCATATAAATCACAAAAATAAGGTAAAGGATCAGTTGTATAATTTTATTAATTATAAAAATATGTATGTAAGGTAAACAAGTGAGATATAAATCTTCAACTCTATCAACCTTGTTTGCCTGCTTGCTTATAGCATTATAGTAAGTGACATTAAGGGGGTTAGGATAAATTATGTAAAACTATAATGTTAGGTGAGTCACTTAAACTAATTTCAAAAGTTATTTAGGAAAAGTAACCTGAATATTTGTTATATTTAAATATTTCTTGTATAAACTTAGCTATATACTAATTCTGAAAGTGTTTTGCTTTACTATGCCAGAGTAGATGCAATGCCTTTGAATTTATTTTAGGGATAGTCATTAGATTAAGGCACCTGAAATTCTGTAGTAGCTAATAACTAGCCTGCTTGGTATTGTTTTTACCTAGGCTCTCCTGGCATGGCCAGTGATAGAAAAGAGAACATGTTGGCATGGGCACGCAGGAGGAGGACTCCACACAGACCCAAAAGAAGGGGTAAGAATGAATACCAAGCCTTTCTATGTTAACTTTAAAAAATAATTTTAAAAGAAACGAATGACAAGTAACTGGAAATTCTTGGTGATTATTGTACTTTAGTAGAAGATGTGTCCTTAAGATTATCATAGTCTAATATTTTTTGATTGGCTTATCTAATGGTGCTTTCGAGTACTAAAAACTCCCACATAAATTGGTGAATATTACATAGATGAGATTTTCTTTGATTTATAATAAATATTCATGATTGACTAAATTAAAAAGTTATTCATCAACTTTAATGTTCTATAGTGCTTGCTGTTATTGTTGATTTGGTGTGTTGAGAAAAAGTCTTATAGGCATGTAAGACAGAGTCTTCTTTGTGTCTCATTCTGGCTTCAAACTCAGGGTCTTCCTGTTTCAGTTTGGCAAGCACCGGTTTACAGGTTTATGATATCATGCTGTTCCAAATGCTTTGGTTCTCTAAAGGAGCATTAACTAACTTTGTTATATAACATAGCATTATAAATAAGTAGGCAAATAAGGCTTAGCGATTATAATTTGTGTATTAAGGTCAATGTTTTGTGTGGATATACTTAGGTCTTAGAATATCAGTTAGCTTCATGGTAAATCTTCTATCCACATGATCCAGCTCTTACTGATTGATATTCTTTAAAAATATCACTGTTATTATCATATAGACATGTTAATCAGTAGAGCCACTAAAATAAAAAGTTCTATTTGGACTAGATTTTTACTAAGTGAGTGAAAATGTCACCAGAATACTGATACATATTTCTCCATCTGGTCCTTTTCTTGGGGCTTGCCTCAAATTAATCTTTCTCCTTTTTTTTCTTTCTACCTCTTTTTCTTTCCTTCCCTTTTTCCCTTTTTCTCTCTCTTTTTCTCATATAGGCATGTTATCTCTAAGTAGCAATGAGTTAAGGAAAAAATTTATGTAAAAGTGTTCCATAAATTATAGGTGCTAAGTAAATATGAGTTATTTTATTGAAAGTGGATAATTGGTAAGAAAACCTTATTTTCTTGATGTCTAGTGTTGCTTTGTACTTTCAGGTAACTCAAAGCACATTGTAGTCATATTTCTATTTCTAGATATATCACTAGCCCTCATAGCTGTCTTTGCAAATAACACAGTATAATATGATAGAATTTTTAAGAATCTGGCGAAGTAGTGATATTTGTTTATTCATATGTTAATTTTTGGCATGATATTTGTCAGTTTTAAGGATCATCTGTCACTAAGGACTCTTAAGGTTAGTTGTTCGTAATGCTCTATGACCAAAAATATGTGGACTAATATAGGAGAGGCCAGCCACTTCTGTTAAACTGCAACCAAACAAGAATTTTATATATGTTGCATTATTTTTTTTATTTATTTTATATAACCAAGTCCATTTAAATGAAAACAAACATTTATAGACAATATTTGGGAATTTGGGTGTCGTTCTCTCCAAACTACTTTCTGCTGGTAAGGGGCGCTGTCAAGGGGATTCGAAGAAGATTCAGATATCCTAGCTGTAGTCTGTAGGGCTGTTTTGTCCAGCTGTTTTGAATGTAGGATCAGCTTGTACTCTGTTTCAGGCGGTCTGGCGTGATCAAACCACATTAGTCTGGAAGGAATCCACATCTTTTCATTTTCTGTGGGAACAAAAATAGAAATCCTTTTCCCCAGTAACTTGTCCTTCAACTTAAATTTTGGAGTCAAAGCATTTTTTTATTTAATTTATTATTTTACATATCGATCCAAGTTCCCCCTCCCTTCCTCCCTCCCTCCTTCCCTCCCTTTTGCCCTCTCTGCCCTCTCACATGCACTCTAACCACCCTCCCCTCACACCCCCCACCCCAATTCCATATGTAGGGGAATGCCATCCAGTTGGGGTCTTATAGATCTGACAGGTCATGTGAAGTAGGGACTAGGGCTTCTCTCCTGTCTCTAGATTAAGGCAGTTATCCCTCCATGGGGGATGTGTTCTCAAGGTTCTTTTGTGAACCAGGGATACATACATCCTGGCTCCACTGTCTGAGGTCCCTTAAACTGCTCAGTCCTCTGGCTAAGACCCATATTCAGGGGGGCCTGAGTCTGTCCCCTGTTGGCTTCCCAGCTATCGGTCTGGTGGCCCATTAGCTCCTCCTTGTTCAGGTAAGCTGCCTCTATGTGTTTCTGCCGCCTGGTCTTGTCCTCTCCATCTGAATCTGGGTTCTAGTTCGACTCAGTGTTTATGTATGGGTGTTTGCTCCTGTTTCCATCAGGCATTAGTTGAGGGCTCCATGGATAAGTTAGTTGTTGATATCACTCTCCGGGAAGGGCATTTATGGTAGCCTTTCCACAGAAGCTGAGATTGTTAGTTGGGAGCAGTCTTGTAGTTCTCTCGACCTTTCTTTGTGTTCAATTTTATCTTCAAACCATTATTGGCTCCCTCTTTTATGTTCTCTCTGTCTCTCTCTCTGTCTCTCTCTCTGTCTCTCTCTCTTTATATCTCTTTCTCTCTCTCTGTCTCTCTCTGTCTCTCTCTCTGTCTCTGTCTCTCTCTCTCTCTCTCTCTCTCTCTCTCTCTCTCTCTCTCTCTCTCTCTCTCTCTCTCTCCTCTGTCTTCTATTCCTAACCAGGTTCAATCTTCCTGGTCACACATGTTTTCCTTTCCTCCCCCTCGTTTTCTCCTACTTCTCTCTCCATTCGCTGCCCCCCCACCTCCCCTGTGCTCTGGGGGACTTGTCCCTTCCCGGTTCTGTGAGGGACTTTATATGAATCTCTTAGAATACACCTTGTATCCTAGTTCCTCTTATGGTGTGAATTATAGACTGGTGATCCTTTGACCTAGGTCTAAAATCCATATATGAGTGAGTACATACTGTGTTCCTCTTTTTGTGACTGGGTTACCTCATTCAGGATGGTTTCTTCAAGTGCCATCCACTTGCCTGCGAATTTCAAGATACCATTATTTTTTTCTGCAGAGTAGTTATTCCATTGTGTAGATGTGCCACATCTTCATTAACCATTCTTCAATTGAGGGGCATCTAGGTTGCTTCCAGGTTCTTGCTATTACAAATAGTGCTGCTATGAACATAGTTGAACAGATGTCTTTGTTGCATGGATGTGGATCCTTTTGGTATATGCCTAAGAGAGGGATTGCCGGGTCCTGTGGTAAAGTAATTCCCATTTTCCTGAGGAACCGCTATACTGGTCTCCAAAATGGCTGTATGAGTTTGCACTCCCACCAGCAGTGGAAGAGTGTTCCCATTTCTCCACATCCTCTCCAACATAAGTCATCACTGGTGTTTCTAATTTTAGCCGTTCTGGCAGGAGTAAGATGGTATCTCAAAGTTGTTTTGATTTGCATTTTCCTGATAGCTAAGGATGTGGAGCATTTTCTTAAGTGTCTTTCAGCCTTTTTGATTTCCTGTGTTGAGAATTCTTTCTTCAGTTCTGTACCCCATTTTTAATAGGGTTATTTGGTGTTTTGTTGACTAGTTTCTTGAGTTCTTTGTATATTTTAGAGATCAGCCCTTTGTCAGATATAGGATTGGTGCAAATCTTTTCCCAGTCTGTGGTCTGCCGTTTGGTCTTGTCAACTGTGTCCTTTGCCTTACAGAGACTTCTAAGTTTGAAGAGGTCCCATTTATTAATTGTTTCTCTCAATGTCTGTGCTCCTGGAAGCAGTCTCCTATACCAGTTTGTTCAAGGGTACCTCCTACTTTCTTGCATTGAATCTGTAGATTGCTATTGGCAAGATTGCCATTTTTTACTATGTTTATCCTACGTATCCAAGAGCATGGGAGATCTTTCCATTTTCTGGTATCTTCTTTAATTTCTTTTTTTAGAGTCACAAAGTTCTTGTTATATAGGTCTTTTACTTGTTTGGTAAGCGTTACACCAAGATACTTTATGTTGCTTGTGGCTATTGTAAAGGGTGATGTTTCTCTGATTTCTTTCTCTGCCTCTTTGTCGTCTGAAAAAAATAGGGCTACTGATTTTTTTGAGTTTATCTTGTATCCTGCTAGATTGCTGAAGGTGTTTGTCAGCTGTAGGAGTTCCCTGGTAGAGTTTATTGGGTTGCTTATGTAAACTATGATATCATCTGCAAATAGAGACAGTTTGACTTCTTCCTTTCCAATTTGGATCCCTTGATCTTCTTTTGTTGTCTTATAGCATTAGCCAGAACTTTTAATATGATATTGAAGAGATATGGAGAGAGAGGGCAGCCTTGTCTTCTTCCTGATTTTAGAGGAATTGGCTTAAGTTTCTCTCCATTCAGTTTGATGTTGGCAGTTGGTTTGCTGTGTATTGCTCTTATTATGTTTAGGTATGTTACTGTTATCCCTGACCTCTCCAAGACCTTTATCATGAAAGGGTGTTGAATTTTGTCTAAGGCTTTTTCTGCATCTAGGGAGATAATCATATGGTATTTCTTTTTCAGTTTATTTATATGGTGGATCACGTTGATAGATTTTCTTTTGTTAAACCATCCCTGCATTCCAGGGATGAAGCCTACTTGGTCATGGTGGATGATTTCTCTGATGTATTCTTGAATTAGGTTTGCCAGTATTTTATTGAGTATTTTTGCATCGATGTTCATCAGGGATATTTGTCTGTAGCTTTCTTTCTTAGTTGTGTCTTTGTGAGGATTGGGTACCAAAGTTATTGTGGTCTCATAAAAAGAGTTTGGCAGTGAACCTTCTGTTTCTATTTTGTGGAACAGTTTGAGGAGTAGTGGTATTAGTTCTTCCTTGAATGTCTGGTAGAATTCTGCACTGAATCCATCTGGCCCTGGACTTTTTTTGGTTGGAAGGCTTTTGATAACTGCTTCTATTTCATTGCGGGTTATAGGTTTATTTAAGTTGTTTGACTGTTCTTGATTTAATTTTGGTAAGTGATACTTATCCAGAAATATGTCCATTTCCTTTGAATTTTCAGTTTTTGTGGAATACAGAGTTTCAAAGTATGACCTGAAAATTGTCTGGATTTCCTCTGTGTCTGTTGTTATGTCCCCCTTTTTGTTTCT